CAGAGATTTATTAGTCTATAAAAAAGTACAATTTTCAGAGGTACTTCTTCCTTAGCCTGAGAAGAAAAATATAAAATAAAAAGGAGCTTCTAGCCCAGTCTCAGGAGGCAGAGAATCAAGCAAGCAAACTACCTATCCAAAGTACAGTCTCAAAATCCTCTTTTTTGAGAGTAAGGGCTAACTTGAACTTTCTGCCGTATGCACTCCCAGGAACATGCAAGAAGTTGAATTTCATGCAGCAGTTTAGATATCAGGAGTTAAGGATTTCAAGAAGAAACACAAACTTGGTAAGTTAGTAGCAAAACAGATGTCTGACAGTGGAGTATTTGTGAAGAGACCATGGTTCTCATGACCTTAGACTCTATTGGGAGAGAACACAATCTCACAGTGGCCAAGTCTTCACGGAGTATCAAAGTGAAGAACTGGAACTTTCTTGTTTATTGCAGCTGAAGGAACTTGGAAAGCCAGACTGGCTGTGTTGGCAGGTCAAGGATCAACTCATAGTCCGTAGAGAATTTTATAGTAGAAGATAATAATGACAGCAAAAGAATAAAACATGATCAAGTTGTCCTGAAAGAGCCTGCTGGCCACTGTCAAAGCCAGAGACGGAGAGGCCAAAACAGGGAAGGAAGGAAAAGAGACACTTATCATGTATAGCAAACAGGCAGAAGTTATGCTTACACTGGTATCCTGGGGTGAACACCTGCTTTCCAACTTTGTGTGGAATTAACCACTGGTATGTAAAACACATGCTTTCCTATCCCGCATCCAAGTGTGAAACAAAACAAATAACGCTGATATCTCTGTGCCTTAAAATTTCCTCCAAAGGGTCTGTAAAACTGCCTTCCTCACTTCTGCGTATTGGTAAAAAGGCTTCACGAAGCAACATGCAACACAGTAATAAAGTAATACCCCTTAACCAAGCACTAGCTAAATATGTTGATTAAAAAATTCTGACCCTAAACACCAAAATCTTTGATGACAGAAGCATCAGACAGGTAGCTGACAAGCCAACCATACAGCAGGAAATACCTGTCCCTAAACAAGTCATCTCATAATCAGATGTAAGCTGAGGCAATAAAAAGGAGTAATCAAAAAGCTCTGGAGCCAGAAGGCTCTATGTTTTCAGGATTTGCAATTTGTACATTTAATACAATGGTCACATTGAATGTTAAATGTAATTACACTGTGGGTCTGGAGCAGAATGCTGAAAACACACTTTGGGAAATATTTCATAAAATCCCATTAAATTCTGATGTTATTCTGAATTCAGTTGGTTGCAGGCACCAACAAACAGACCTCATTTACAGGAGCTTGGAAAGTCAAGGCAAAGAAAGCAAGACTGAACATCCTCTCAGGGTCAGAAGGATTGAAGAATGCCATTTGCCTTTTAAATTCATCATTAATTCAGATCAGTAATAATGAAGAAATCAAAAAGTCCCCAAATTAAAACCAAAACCTTTGAATTTGTCAGAAGAAATGAGTGTTGCCATCCGTACGCAGAAGCTTGTAAAAGTGGGTGACAAACAACCATGTGCTTTGAAACACTCCTGGTGGCAAGTCAGTGAGCTTAAATCCTTCAGAGTTCTGAGTGTACCAGTTCTCAGCTCAAGGGACACAAGTCATCCCATTAGCACTGTTATCTCTGACTTACACATCTCATTGCTGGTGAACAAGCAGGACCAATGAGATGCTGCGCTTGACTCCCTTTAGAAATCTCATGAGCCCAAGGGAAGTTTCATGAGTTGTTAAATTCAAATTTAATCTAAGGCTTTCATTGAGAACAGTTCATAAGCTCTTATTAAACAAGAGGGAAAGCTTGATTCTGCAGATCTAGCTTTCAAAAACCAAAAAGAGGTGAAAGGTGCAAGTCTGTCGAGCTCCCACCTTCAGCTGTTGAAAATGGAACAGGGAAGATAACAAAAGGGAGGTAAATCATCTGCCTGTCATAATCCATTACCTAACTGTCTTCTGCAGAAAAATTAATGCTCGTAAGTTATTTTCTGCTAAGTTCTGAGTAACAAAGCTCAGCTTGGATTGAGGTGCCTGAATCTGTATGATTTCCATGTTCAGACCCTGATAGAATGGAAAGACCCCCCAAAAGAGCATATAAAGCCAACTAGCATCAGCAGTTTAATACAAACACCTATGAGTGAAAAAGAAGAGCCTATCACCCTTCCAAAACACTGACTGCCATTTTACCACAAAACGCCAAGAATAATTAGTATGACTTCAGATTTCACACAACAAATTTCTCTGCTTATCAGAAACAGTTCAAGAATGAGCTCTGTATACTCATCTGAGAATGGCTGATAAAGTTATATATGTTTATGGCTTTTATTTCCCCCCAGGACATTTTTCCTTGATGATATTTCACTTCTGATTATCTGCCTACCCAAACACGCATATGCAGCAGGGGACGGCGCACAGGCTGCTCTGCAGGAAGTTTGCAGGGAGGAAACGAGTGATCAGTGTTTTGTTCCACATTGGGAAATGTGATCTTCTTATATCAATATGAGAGTGCCTGCAGAGAGAGTGGGGACTTAATAGACATGCAGATCCACAGAGTGATTACTGCTTGCTGAGCTAAAGAGATGCCAACCCTAACATCTGTTTGCTGTTCATTCTGTCTTATCAAAGCCTTTTCTGTAACCCTTATCACACAGTGTGGACAGGATGGCTAACAAAACATGCTCTGTTAGCTGAAGAAACAAGTTACTGATCCAGTTAGCTTAGCAAAGGACTCTACAAAGAAAACACATTGCTTACCTTTACACAGGAGTAAATGATGGAAACAAACACCACCGTGGTCAAGATCAGAAAACAGGTCAGGTAAAAACCCAGCATAAATGTAGAGCTGAAAGCAAGGAGATTTATTTTTAATGCATACCATATAGAAAGCTACAGGTCTGATCTCTAGACTATGGTATTTGTACAAGCTATGACACACCACACAGGCTTTCCAATTAGGATAGCAGTAGGAGATGCAAGGCGCCTTGAATACCAACAGGTAGGCTGCCATATTTGAATTAGTCACATAGGCTGCAGAGCAGAGAATGCTGCATCTTTTATAGCAATCACCTTCCTGCTGAGGTGACAGCAGAGGGACTGAGAAATATCTCCTGTGCTTGAGGAGGTGATGGAACAATTTATTACAGAGGGTCAGCCCTGCTGGCTGCGGGCTGCAGACCCCAGGCAGGAAAGCGTGCTGTGCACTGCAGTGCAGCTGAGTGTATGTGAAATCCACAGGGAAGGCACATTTCATGTTAAGCTGATGAAACTCTTTTATCTGTGCTCCAGGTAGAGCTGGGAAACCTGGTGCTTTTCTGAGGGAACACACAAGGGAAAAGCTCAGTGGGGACGGCCCTGCCACGTCTGAGCTTCATCCTGTGAGTGGAACAGGAGCAACCATGGCACAAGGATGGGGGTAACAGATCTAGCCTGGTCAGCTTGAGATGTTCCTCTGCTTTCTCTGTTCCTCTCAACTTTGAAGTACAAACAGGACCTCAGGGCTAACTTTGTACTATGCATTTTTTATGTGTTTCGATCATGGAGATATTCAACAACAATTTTGTAGTGATTGGTCTCAGTATGAAAGGACAGGCCCCCTCCCAGGAGTTTGCCTTGCTCATAATTTAAAGGAAGTACTCTTGCAACATGACATTAAGGCTAACCACACCAAAGCCAGCTGGTCTCTGTGTTCTCTCATGACTATTAGGATAATTGTACTTGCTAATTCACTGTTTGAGCCTTTGTGAAATTCACTGAAGTGATTCCTCTTAATCATTGCAAGTCACCATCGCCATTTTGTCTCTAGTGTCAGACTCAAATTCCTTTGAAGCTCTGATGGTGACACATACACACCTGTGGTTTCGATTGCAGCTTAACTGTTACCTTCAACAGATGACCAAAGTTATGCAATTGAAATATTGGAAAAAACAACCCTAAAGTAGTGGGAAAATGTATCTGATCCTCGTTTAAACCGTGAAATTTTATTTTAATTCAAATCAAATTATCTTTCAGACAGATCAGGCTACTTAAGGATGCCTAAAAACTTACCAGAAGTGCTAACCACCCCCTTCCAGGTCATGAGGAAGGGGACGGAGCAGCGTGACATTTATACCACACTGCCTGTAATATGAAAGAGTCAGCCATATGGTTGGTGCAGATCAGAAAGTGTCAAGTTGTCATTTCAATGTTGAACTGGGTTTTATGGAGATAGCTTAGTGGCTGCTTTGGGAGTTTGATGAGAACCACAAAGCCTCGTAGAGAGCCTTTGCATGTGAGAGCTCAAAGGGGTAATATCCAGCCAGCAGATCTAAAGTGTAAGCCATTAGTAAGCGAGGCCAAGCTCTCTAAGAATATTTTGGCCATTAGCTACAGTGTGGTATTTGCTTGGATCTATCTGATTTCAGTTTTAACCTCTAGTTTCCCAAAGCAGATCTGTCTGTTTACATAATGCATTTACACTGAAGTTATTTCGCTGATCTAACATTTCTGTGAGCAGAAGTGAATGTCCTCTTGCCTGGGAGAGAGAATGACCTCAAACAATAGACCACACACTATTTCTATGACCTTCCAAACATCTCTGAATGGTACAAACCAGTCTCTACTCTGAAAAGAAGTGCAGTGTGAACAGACGTAGAAGCAGTTGTAATGACAAACAACAGCACTGGAACTCTCTATAAAAATTTTTTGTCTTCTTGTAATGAAGATGAATTTGGAGCATTGTTAGAGCTTCTGAGATCTTGTTCTTCAGATTAAAAATGACTAACTCTAAATTTATTTCCAACACTGCAGTGTTCAGTGAATGATATATTATTGTTACTAAATGAGAGCACAGGAAATACCAACATGTTTTAATTTCAAGGGATTTTTTCATGAACTCTTTGAGAAGAAATACCATATCTGCAGAGCTCACTGCTGGAAAAGATCCAGAGAGTTACACTGTTCCTTTCAGATGCAGGAACACACTGCAGTGGTTCAAAAGCTCTGTGCGCCACAGCCCTGAGGAGCTTATTCCACTTCAGTCCCTCTCTTGCCTGGGGAAAGAAATGACTGCATCCCTTAAACCCCGGGTAAGCTATCAAAGCTTAGGCATATGCAGCCTTTTGTACCTTTCTTCTTCTTGCATGGCTGCTCTGAATCCAGAAGAACAAATGCACAAGAGGTTAAACCTCACCTGTGAAGCAGACCCTAAAACCTCAGCACTCTGAGCAGTGAGACTGTGATGGGTTTTTCACCTCTCTGTTCTATTGCATTTAGATAAGGGGACAGACCAAACTCATGCTGTGAATGCACACTATGCCTCAATAGGCACAGTAAGCTTACAGCTTAGTGATATTTGTTTTTCCACGGCTTTATAAATGTGCCAAATCAAATTTTGTAAAGTGGAGGTAAATGTAAGAGAACTCTTGCTGGCAAAACTGAAAGACTCACATGCCAATGAGGAAGTTTAATATGCACTAGAAATGAGTGGAAACAATAAGCATCACACATAACTCAAGAATGAATTATTTAAGGATTTTCTTTTCCCCTTGGTGCTCTGACTTCTCAAGAAAAAAGCAACAAAGAAATGTAGGCTAGAATATTGGGGGGGCAAGGGAGGGGAGCAGATAGAAGCAAAGGTGTGATTAGATAAGATACTCACTGTGGCACAATTATGATCTGAACAAAGCAGATGAAGAGGAAGACTAGGGAGGCACAAGCCACATAGGCTCCGAATCTGTCGTCCACCTGCTTGGAGTACTGCACAAAAAGCAAAGTTTTACACTAGTGGAAAAATTGGCTGCTGCCTTCACCCAACCAACAAACGCTTGTTTCTTGGCTTCCATTTCGGTTCTTGGAAAGAACTGCCAGTAGGAAAAGACTAAGACTACAAACTCCCCTGGTCCCTGGGCAAGCTGTAAGGGTTCAAACCCTTACAGTATTCCAAAGACCAGGGAACAAATCAATACAGCTGGATAGAGAGAGGGTTCAAAGCCTGGTCCTTGCATCAGAGGAACAGAAATGAGGATACTTGGGACCAGGATAATAGGTCACTATAATCAGACATGAACTTCTTCTATGGGAAGCTTCCTCCAACAAGGATGAATGCTGCTAATGAGAAAACCTTGTTTTCTTTTGTGCAGACAGCTTGGCTCACTCTAACAATAGTGCAAGGATGCTGTGGTTTTCACACAGTCACTCCTTCCAACTACATGTCAACATATCAGTCACATGGGAGCTGCATCCAATTCCCAAAGATGCTTTCTTTAGCTTGAAGCATGGTTCTCAGTACAAACGGTCTCAATATTTGAACCACGAAATGAAAGCTGCTGAGAACAGGTGAACTGCTAATTTCCTTAGCAGTTTTCAGCTATAAAATTGAAGAGGAGTGGGGGTAAATTACATGCTTGTGCTTTTACTTGATCCCACACAGGTTCATTGAATAGCTATAAGTCCTGCGAAAGTCTGTTTTCACAGTAGGCTGCAATTCATTGAATTTCAGTCATTGAAAGAGTATTTCTACATAAAACGAAATAAATAGTGCCAACTTAATTTCTGAAATCTTATCCATTAAATGGTGAGCTTAACATGGAAACTGCTCAAGTATCCCAAGGATCTGTGCTGGGATGAAAAAAAAAAAAAAAAGAGGAAAAATATGACATGGAATTTCTTTGGGCAGTTAAAAACTGTAGTTCACGTGGTACCCTTAACAGTAACTGGATTTAACTGGACTTAATGTTACAGTCCAAAGGAAATTTTGTCTCTATTTAATAGACAGAGAAATTGAAAAGATCTTTGCCTCACAACACAAAGATATCTGAAAGCCATCAGCTATTCAGGACTCTTGGTCTACTGCTCTCCTCTCCCAAATCTGTGTGAGTGAGAACTCTAACTGTCGCTTAAAATGGGTTCCTAAAGACAGAATAATGAACCTCAGTAGCACTTATGGCTCCCTGGGTGGCAAGGCATTACCTTTTTCTCCAGGTCAGGCTCCCTGAATGTTAAGAGAAACTTGCGCACGTGCTCAGAGCGCAATCGGTCAATACTTCTGGCATCAATGGCCCGGCCCAGAAACTCATCCACTTCATCTTCTGGGTTCATACTTTCCTGTGTATTCCTGAGGATGTGGGAAAAAAAAAAAAAAAAGAAAAAAAAAAAAAGGAACATAAGAGGGTAAGATAATTGCCTCCTCTTAACCACATGTTATCATCTGACTCTATAACAAACTGTGGGTTAATGGCATTTTGCTTATGACAACTTTGAGCTGGAAAATGGATTGTGAGCTGAGAGGAAAATTAGACCAGCTGCACTGCGCACTGACAGCACGCCAGTGAAAGAATTTCATTTATTTGCCTTTTTTTTCTAAACAACCTCCAAATCAAGGAGCTTTCTTGCTTTGGAGTCTCTTTACTGTGCTTCATCCTCACAACTAGGCTGTAATTCCCCTCCACTAGTCCTTAGACTTAGTCTTCCCTGCTGCACTATCAATGATCTATGTAACCAGCCATATTCACTGTTTCGCTATGATTATGTCTACAATGATGTTGGATATTTCAGGTTGGATATTAGAAAGAATTTCTTCGTAGCAGGAGAAGTTGGCATTGGAACAGGTTGTCCAGGGAAGTGGTGGACTCATTGTCCCTGGAGGTGTTAATGGAAAGGGTAGCTGCAGTACTTAAAGACACGGTTCAATGGGCAATATTGGTGGTAAGTGGATGGTTGTACTGATAGATGATCTTAGAGGTCTTTTCCAACACTAACGATTCTATGATGTCTGCAAAAATTTCAGAACTTGAATAATTCTCCATTACTGAGAAAAAAATTGTTTACAGAACAAACCTTTGACAAAAACAAACGTGGGGAAAAAATGTGGCCTGACACCCCACTGCTTCCCTCATGCAGTTTTTATGAGTAAGAGAAGCAGACAATATTTCCTGTTTACAAGATACTTAATTCACTTGAGCTAGGGAGAAGGTAGCAAAAAACCCTCCCCAACATAAATTAGATTCTGCTTTCCAAATATCTGGAAGATTTTAAGATTGCTTGTAATATTTGTTGCCATTTTGTTTTTGATACTCATCTACGGTTTTTGAAAAATGTTAAAAAAAATAACATCAAAAAATTAATTGCCCCAAGGCAATTTGCACATGCAGTCAGGAAACCTGAAGCACCTCCCAAAATTTATTGCTGCTTCTTAAAATTTAGTCACTTGCTGATGCCACTTTAATGGTCTGCCTTAAAAGTAGCCATGGGCAGAAATTAAAAGTGCATTCTGAAGTGCTGTTTTTCTGTTCTGTTTACATGATTGCCAAGGACACAGAAGTTGCACAGGGGTATATTCCAATGGACAGCTATTTCTGTGTGCAAATCCCACGGTGGGAATGCAGCTTCCAGCTCATGTTGAGTGACCTTCACCTTTGGCACTCTGACCCAGGCTCTGACCAGCAGGATGGGAAGCTGCAGTGCTTTCTGTTCTGAGTTTCGTTTGCACTGCAGGACAGGGCACAATGCCCAAGGCTGCTGCTGGACTTACTGGCAGGGTTGTGCTGTGAGCAGAGGCTGCTCAGCACAGCCTACAAACCAGAACATGATGCCATGCTCAAGGTTGAAGGCCCCATCTCAAAGGAAAGGCTTTTTGCTGGACATGGCAGGATTATAGAGGCACTCTGTGCCTCTGCTCTGCCATGTACCTCTCACCAAGAGAAAGGCAGACCAGGCCTACTGGCTCGTTGCCACCTCTCCTGCCCCTGGCCAGCCAGGCTTCTCCAACACGTTGGTGTCTCTCTATGGCCGTGTGGCAATGGCAGCTTGTCCACCTTGCCTCAGTGACTCACTACTGCTTCACCCAATCAATAGTTCAGTAGGGTTGGAGCAAAACAGTTGTTTTCATTTTTGGCCTGTAGTTATTTAGTTCCTTGACGGTCATGTATTCCTCTTTGAAACTATAATGAAGTTTTGTTCCCTAGAAGGACAGGAAATTCAATTTACTTCCAGATGCTCCCTTGGAGGAAGCACGTCTGCTTAAGCAATCAGCAAGTGGCTGCTTACTTTTCAGCCCATCCTCACAAGTCTGTCTTCTGGACCCATAAAAGAGTAAGGAAATCATTACGGTTCATATTTACAGAATGTCTTCCAAGATCCTGCGAGTTATTTACACACGTGGGTCGTTCACATTCAGTCATTTCATACACGTATGAGAGAGGCAATACATTTTCCTCCAGAACTGGAGCAAAGAGTTGGCTCAGCATCCTCGTGAACCTCAGTCACATTTCAACCTCCAGTTGAACAGCAACATTCAGGAGGATGTGAAGAGAAAAGAAAAATCTGCATAGGCTTTGGTCACGGCTGTCTCCAGTTCTGTAACAGGTCATTGTACTGCGGAGGGCATTTCTCATACTACATCTTCTGTGGTTGCAGCTTATGTAAACACATTTCTGCAGTTTTTAGGTGACCTTGCAGGGATGTTCATTGCAAAGTAGCCACACTCGAGCAAACAGCAGGGAAGCCTGATCACCTGCACATACTCTGCTGGTGGGGCGGCTGCTCTGCATCCTTGACTGTTGTACCCCTATTCATTACTGTACAGTAAGTCTGGGTACATCTGCATAAGTCCTAAGTCAAAAGAGCAAATGTTCTTGTTCTAAGGAGAGCCCTGAAGGCTGTGCTCTTAAGTCAGAGTGGAGCTACTGCCATGGAGTAATGAAATTCATATGTGGAAATGTGTTTTCATATATTGATAGTGTGTGAGGGGAAAAGCAGGGATTTCAGGCCCCCAAGAAACTTTCAGAAACACCTCTTAAAAGTGCTGTTGAGATCTGTACAAAATGCAGCCAAAAGAAAATTGTTACAAGGGATGGGAACAACATGAACAGAGCTGGGAGCAGCTTTTGCACTCTGCTTGTGCATGTGAAAGCTAGCAACTGACCCAGAGAAGTTGGCTTCAAATAATCCAAAAACATTCTGCTTATTCAGTTACTTCCTGCAAATGAAGAGTGTGAGAGCGTGACCAGAACTGCCAGAACAACATATATGCCATAATTGTAAATGCCTCATGCCTAGGTTCAATGACTACATCTTCACTCAGGCGAGTGTCAGGTCCTGTTCTAAGAGATGCATGGTGCCTCATCCTTGCTGTTGGAAAAGAGCTGTGCTTTTGCATGTGAAAGCACAGAACTGAGTGCTTAGTGTCTAATTTAAACAATGCCATAAACATTTCCTGGCAGAGGTGGTTTCTTTTTAGCCACATCTTTATCCCTGAATTAAACAGATTGCTGGATCAAGAGAATCTAAGGCAATTAGGAGATTTTTTTTGTGTGTGTGGAGCAGGAGTGAAAAAAGCCTGCAATCTGTATAGTAAGATAGGGGCACGCTCAAACAGCACTAGTAAATACAGAGTAATCCTTGCCAGCAGTTAGCAGCTCAAGTAACCTTTTCAAATGGCAGGATGGAGGAGAGACATGACCATCCTTGGAGTACCCACCTGTGGAGAAACCATTCCTCACTCACTGAGTGACTCATCCGTAGCCCAGCACCAAGGCAGGAGAACTTATGTTCTCTGACGTGAAACATAAGGACAGACCCTATTTCATGAAGAATACTTAAAAATTTCTGTATTCCTCACAATTATTTTGTTGCAATCTGTTAGATCTTTTTCCTCCAAAATATATCCAGTATCAGTTGAGTACACAGCAGCCATGGACACAAGTTTCTCCCCAGATACCCTGCACCACACCGAAACATCTCATGGTGCTCAGTGGTAAATGTTATTAAAACAGAGTTTGCAGTGAAGGGCAAGAGGAGGAGAAGATCCCAAGTATTGTCACGTCCAATCTTACCACATTCCTTTACTTCTAGGGAGTTGCACTCAGTGCTCAGCCATCATAACGTGAATTTCCCTAAAGGCACATTATTTAGGGCCCACAGAAGCATTCAGCTGCCCCAGCATACACAGACCTGCCAGGTCCTTATTGACAGCCTGAGAAATGTGATAAAGAGCAATAGCAACATATTTCAGGCATCAGTCTCTTCTACTGTCACCTGTCTTGCCCTGAGCAAGCTTACAATTAATGCCATTCAGTGGTTCTGAATAAGAAATAATTATAGACACCCTCACTACAAGAAATTTTTTTTGTAATGTCCAGCTGTGGAAGTGAGAAAGGGACTGTATTTTTTTTTTCTTCCTCCAAAAGAGATTTTTTTTAACCACCAAATACCACTCATGTTTTATCACTATTTTTGCCACTAAAAAAATTGTTAGATATGAAATACATCAAAATGCTGCTCTAGCTTGCTTGCATTTTACAGCATGAAATTATGAATTCACCTTTTAAAATGAACTGTCATTTCTGTGTTTACTTTTGCATGTAGGAATTAGTACTATGTAATAATTAGAAGTACATACATAAGAAGCACTCAGGAACTATATATGTCATTTAGACATACATAATTTGTTCTTATTGGAAATGTTCAACACTGCTAGACACACTTTTCATGATGATTTTGTTCTTGGGATATCGTCAAAACAGCAAAGACTGAATAACACTGGGTGGGGTGGGGTGGGAAAGAGCAGCAAAATGTTTTAATTCCAAATGCCAGCTAGACTCAGACAAATCAATAAATGTTTTGAGACAGTGACAGCTCTGACTGCACATCAGTTAACCCCGTGTCCTCAGACTGGCTGCCCCTACAGGAGAAGTCACTGGGGGGTCCAGGCACTATTGGCTGCTGGGCACTAATTTTTGTCCTTTTTTAATATGAGAAGAAAAAAACAACCAACAACACAAAACCCACAAACGTAACAGCATATGACAGAAGAGAATTTGCTTACTTGTCCTTGGGATCCTCAAAACCCTGTAAGAGAGGAAAAGGACACAAGGGTTAGGAAACAGGCAAATCTTAAGAACTCAAAGCATGCAGAGAACGACACTGCAGAGGAGTTTTTGGAGCATTCACTGTTAGGTGCGGATGGAGAGCCTTACCAACCCACGGCAATGTTTGTGCTGCTGTGTCATCGGGCAGACAGAACAATTTTAGAAAAACACTTGGCTTTCAGTATAAATTTATGGAAATGGAGATAAGAGAAATGCTTCAGCTGACTGCTGGCACACGTTATTTGAGATACAAAACTCTGACCGCTAACATGGCACAACCACGTATTTAATCCGGCACAGCTGCACCTCTTTATTTCAGCTGGGGATTGGCTAAGGGAGCCCAATGCATTTTGCTTTATATTTTTTCAGCAGGAACCCCATAAGAGTCTTCTTCCATCTCCTCATACTGCATGCACACACAAAAAATGTGTTTCCTTAAATAAGACTGCAGAAATTGTAATTTCTGTGTGTAATAGCCAAAATGTTTCACAATTCCTTTGGGGCCACCTGAACTGAGTGTGTGCATTTATGGTCACCCATAGCTTAAGTGGCTAGAAGACCCCAGAGAAAACCGTATGAAGGCACACACACTTCTATATGTTTAGTATTACCATATCTAACAGACCAAATACCGCGAAACAGGACATTTTGCATGGGATGAAACAAAATCTCTCCTCTGAAATCTTGGCTCGACTTTAACTGAAGTTAAGAGAGGTTGTATACTTGACAAGCAGGGTCACAGGCACAGGGTTTGTACCCTGTGTTCCAAAACATAAGAGAAATGTAACTGGGAGATATGCAACTTTGCTTTTGTTTTCCTCCCTGAGGCCAAAACCGCTCAGAGGACATGAAGATGTTCCAGCTGCTGGACCTGCAGCTGCTCCTGGGTTGGGGGAGCAAACAGAGGCCTGCCTGATGCTGCATGACTACAACGAAAAGCCTTTGGGCAACAGTTTTCACACAGCTGCGTTGTGTGTCACAACAAGAACACGGACCAGATTCTAAAGGAGAACAGATTTTGCCCTTGCGATGAGTTAGCAATGTGGTGGCACAGCAATGGGCAGAAGCAAAACCAACACAGCGACCCTGGATGACATCAACTCGGCAAGTGGAAAAAAGAGGTCCTGGTCCCTCAGGTCAACAGGCAGGACTGTGATTCACAGAGAGCTATGTCCATTTTTATACCCTCCGTTTCAAAGTCAAACCACACCTCAAAATAGAAACTGCAACTTCGACTTAACCCGTCCGAAATCCAGATGAAGGAAGGCTCTCAGTGCCATGTACTAACCACCAGTGGATTCAAGTGCAGTGGGAAGAAGGAAACAGTAATGTTGATTCAATGTTAACATGTGCACTTGCCCAAGCCAAACAAAACATGTACTTTTGATTTCACGTTAAACAGTGCTGAAGGGATCATTCAGCTTCTTGTTGTGTGGCTTTTTTTTTTTTTCTTAATCATTCTACAGTTGTCAAGAATATCTGATTTATTTATTTATCCTCTAAGCAATGCTAAACTCAGTGCCAAGAACGAAAGCTCACTGATTAATCATGGAGACAAAATGCTTAGTAATTTGTCTGGTGTCATAGCCAGTTAGGCTGGAAAAAATAAGAAAATCAGCTGAAGACGGATAGCTACCAGCCAACAAATGAGGGGGAGAGAACTGATGTGAAAACAGACAGTACTTGCTTATTAGATAGACATCAAGTTCACATTTTCTAGCTTATCCACGTGGGAAATGGATGACTGACTGCAACTGGAGCGTCTCCTAAAATGGTCTGATTTTCATGGACTGCTGAGAAACTATTCATCCTACTGATGTCCTGAAACCAAACACAGATTTCAGACTCCTGCCTTCTAGGTGCGCATGTTTGGCAATACAAGCCAACAGGTCAGTTTACAAGAAAATCTCAGCAAACATATCCTCAGTAAATGCCACAATACTTCAAGCGTGAAAAAAAATGTGGGCTGCATGTTTAGCTGGTCATTGACCAGGGTGAACACTTCAGCTACACAGAACTGGATTCTTCCCTGCCTTTTTCCCCCAGCAAAAACACTGTAAGTAAATTCTCTAAAATAATACAGAATTAATTGATTTAGTTCTTCATTTTTAAATACTAGATTGTACTTGAAGCCCTAGAAGTTATTCGTGTTGGCAGCTCAAACAAAATTAGTGCTTTAAAATTAAAACCTCACAAAAAGCCTCTTTCAGGTAGAGCAAAAAAGGAAATGATTATTCTATGTTCTTTACCAAATTTTCTTCTAACAGTATCTAAATATTTAAGAGTGACATGAACTCTAATTAGAGAGAATCAGCTTACAATTAAATGTAGTAGGAACCTCTCTGAGTTAAGCAAATCAAATGATTCACTTCAAATGTTCCCATTTCGTGAGAAAGATTCTTCAAGCAGAATTTCCAAAAATGGAATTGTTATGGAGAGAGGTCTGCAAGGTTATTTTAGGAAAAAAAATAGTCCAAACAAAAAAAAAAACAACAAAAAAACCCATAGCTTCTTTGAAACTGATAGCATATAACAGGAGATCTTTCTCCTTTGCATTGAAACACTTTGCTGGGAATCAGAAAATATACATCTCAGAGATCTGAGACCAGAGATTTTTTCCTCTGTTCATTAAAGCTTCAGCCTCTCAATTGCATGCCGAGAATACTTTTAAGCAGGGAGATGATCGTGTGCACAGTGTCATGCTGCTCACCCTCTTCAGGTTGGGAAGGAAATTTCCCCCTGGGCTCTGTCTAATGTGTTTTCAATTCCTCCCACTTTATGGGCATGCTTGGTCCATTACAATCATTTGAAAATGGTCACTTAAATTATTTCCTTTCCCTTGCACAAAGCTTGAGCACACTGGTCTTTTTCCATTTCCACTGCTAGCAAACAGTTTCATTTCTTGATGTCTTGGATGCTTTCCTCCAATTAAAATCCTTTGGCTCAACACAGGTCTTGTAGGAATATGGGCTACAGTAATTTGGCTTCACTCCTAAAGACTAACACACTCATGGCCTAGGAGACAAATGACCACAAATCACAGTTTCCTCACAGCATGCAAAGCAACACAGACAGTGAGGCCAGCTCTCCTCCCCTGTTCACCTCTACTGAGATGAGCTCAGGGATCTCTGCATGGAGTCCCATCACGTGTGTGCAAACACCTTCAGGTGAAGGAGCTCAACAGGAAATGAGATAATGAGCGTTGCTGCTGCAAGCAGCCCTGATCTCTTCTGCCCATGCTGCTGGAGGCTGGGTAGCTGTGCTGGGCAGTGCAGTACCCAGCCTGTCTAGGTATGGAGCAGCTTTAAGCTCCTCAAAGGTACACCAAGATTGGCATTTCTGCACACACATATACAGAGATCTGAGCACCCAGACAAAATAGCTGATAAAAAGCATGTTCCCACCATCTATGAAAGAGGCAATAAGAGGGTAGGAAGAGAAAATGTCAATTCCTGGAGTAGAGTATATAAATCCCCTCTTGATTGCTCATGGCCTTATGCCCAGCAAGCTGAAGCAGTACCAATGGCTTTCCAGGGTGCTACAAAGAAAAGTCTGGGAACTGTCAGTAGGAATGAAAATGGCAAAAGTGGTGATGGCTACAGGAATCAGACAGAAATGAGTTCAGAGAAATTCAGGAATAGCTCCATAACCACAATGACGGAGTAGCCCTTGTTACAGTCAAAATTCTTTTTCTCTAGAAGGAAACCCAAGGCATAAAACTGGTCAATGCTAAAGGACCTCATGCAATTCTTATTCAGGCACTATTTTAATACCCCTGATACTGGGATTTTTCCCCATCCCCCAGGAGACTGCATTATTCTGCCATCAGCCTGCAAATGAAAAGGTAAAAGTATTTAATAATTGCTTTGAGACTAAGAAAGTTCTCTCTCCGAATTGAGGAACATTAACCCAAACGTAGCTGTATCAGCTCCCATACAGGCAATAATACCCACTGATGAACTGTCTTGCTCTTTTTTCTTTTCTACATGGGATTATTAAAAAAAAACCCAACCATGTATTATGGCAGGTCAGGTGGCTCTGAATTTACAAGCACTTACTTTTAATGACCATCCTCTGTGGGAACTGACGTGCAGGAGAAAAAAAAGAGGGAACGTGATATTACTGAATCTGTCCCAAAAGCTTACAATTTTATAAGGGATATTTTATGGAAATCTACTGCACTAACAGCTCATGTGACTGCTGCCTCTCTTCTTGACTTCTAAATTAACTAAGCTGTTTTCTTTGAAGATTAATACAGATTCCTTAAATAGAATAATAAAGCGTTTGTCAAAGCTGTGACAAGCTGACTGCTATACCATAATGCTTTGAATCAAGAACCATGAGAAATAATACTTCTAACTTTGAGAACATTAGCTGTAATTATTAACATATTGTAAATACGCAAAGAAAAGTGGAGTAGACTTTACACCCTTTTAGCTTTTTCATCTAGCTCCAAAAACAAGATAATGGAGGAGCTGATGAGCTCTGTGACCTTTTTAATAACAACGTGCTTGGAATGCACAGATTCCACCTTAAAAGCTTTGCTGGCAACTCCAGTAAAGATTGCCAGGGCAAAAATGTCAGAGAAGCTAATTTTGCTTGCCCTTTGCTCATGCCTAGCACAAAGACCCAAATGAATGGGACTTACATGAAATCTGAAGTACTGCAGACTTACAAATCAAGACGACAAAGTGAGGTTTGTAAGGGCTCACGCCAGCTTGCAAAGATGTTCCACGGTAACAGAGATTATGAAGATATACATGGAGACAGAAAGGCAGAGAGTGGATGGAGTTAAAAACAAACCTGCTATGGCTCCACCACAAAACTAATTATTCACCTCCATTTATCAGATTTTCAGTACTGTGTTACATTCTGCCTTTGTCTCTGTGGTCACCCAGACAAGGCTAGGAAGGCAGATGCTGTTAGGTATAAGAACAGAAACAGAACTGAAGGACTTTCAAGCACTCAAGCCAGAAATAATGTAATTTCTATACCAGACTCCAGAAAGTACAGGCACACAAATACACAGGCTGGTAGGAAGGGTATTTAACAAGCATCTAAGTGTGGAACAACAAACTGGCGCAAAATTAGTTTACAAAACAGATCAGTCCAGCGTGTCTGCTACAGCTGGAACACAGACTAATGAGTTCTGAAGAGGAAAGCTGAAGTGCTCCCTTTCTGCATCCCACCCCGCTTAATAAAATAGACTTTCATTCCTCTGCACTGCTCACAGCTGGTGAAGCACTCTACTTTGTTCTGTTCTGCTGAAAATAACTTGTTACATGGCCTCTGTCAGACTGGACCAGACCAAAATCAAGGAGTCATTTGGCTCACCGGATTTATACTATGTAGAACATATGCTGTTGCTTTTGAAATAGTTTTCCCACCTTAATTTTAATTCATTTATGGCTTGGAACTCACTGCCAGAGGAAGGACAGGTTGCTCACACTTCCCAGTTTTCTGAACTCTGAATCCAAATTTCTACATGTCAAAGCCATATCTGCAAATGAAACGGTACGTGATTCTGTGCCTCACTTGTGAGCAGTTACCATACCTTACAAAACAGAAAAGATCCAAAAACAGGTAGCGGTAGAAATGCTCTGAACTGGTTCCTGGCTCCTTTATCTCTGTCTTTTCATCTCTACAATCTAAGTGATGATAAACAACACACTTCTACAGAAATTACTGCTGAACCGAACAGATGCACAGATGTAGACAGATGCCGACACTGAATCCAAATGTGCCCTTCCTTAATTAGTCATCCACTGTCTCTAGAAACGGTTCTGGTGAGTGCCACAGCTTCACTTCTGATGTCAATGTGTGGTGAGCTGCCACTAACATCAGAGGAGGTGCTTCTTGCGTAAAGAGAAACAGGTATCTTTATGTCTGTAGGCTTAGTTTAATCCTGCTAAAAGACTGTATGACTTTTTAGTAGTATCTTGATCCAATCTGCCTTTTCCTGTATGACTACAGTTTACTCAAGGAAAGCATGTGATCGTTGGAAAATAATCAGTGCAGGACTTCCCTGCAAATACTAAACTCTAACTAGACTTCACACATGCAGCTGTAGACCAGCTGTTGCTCTTATTCATCTTTTACAAATTTAATCAAGGTTGACTGCAAGCCCCCATCGACTGGAATAAAATTTAAGTTTGCAGACACAAAACTGTACAAAGCCTCCAACAACTTAAGCAATGTATAGTGCTTTATATGGCTCCCACTCATTTATGTGAGATCACACAGCACATTTGAATCAGACAAATCCTCTTTTCAGAAGCACCAAAGCTGACAAAACTTGCTGTTTTGTCAAACAAATTGGCTTCAGAAAACCCAGACCAGGTTAACAATTTCCTCCCAAGTCTGTCGCAGTGCCTCGGGATTACAGCAGAATGGATTGCCTGAAAGTTTCTCCCTACTTGATTATGGGAATTCGGGAGATTCTGAATGGTGGCAAAGATGTAGCGGGACAAATTCTCCATTGGTGTCCCTGTCCAACTCTGTTGACATTAATGTTGCTATTACCAGATTTAGCAAGTGATTGCTAGAAAAGAGGATAATGGTCACCTCATGCTAAACAAAAACTTTTAGAAGGATGATAAGCCCTCTGTGCCTCATTCATGGAGACAAGCCTGCTTCTCTTTGAAGAGGCTGCACTACTGACCGAAGAAAACTTGCCCTCTGACTTTTCTTTTATATTTTTAATCGCTTCTGATGACAATTGGATTAGATCATCTCAGAGGTCTTTTGCAACCTTAATGAATCTATTACTCTAACCACTGCAGCTGGCACAGAACCAGCTACAGCAATCATTCCTTCGATGCACCTGTTCCCTAATTTTCATTTCCAAGTAACAAGAAAATCTATTGTAAGGGTAAGCTGGGGACAACAAAGAGTAGAAGCGAGTTGTATTTGTGATGCAACACACAGAGAACTGCTTGGTTTAAGACAGGACAAATAGAACAAAGAATTATATTTTATGATGGAAAGACTAGACTTGAAGATGAGTGATGTTTCGTTAGAAAGCAAACACCAAACAAGTATCATGCAGCAGACTGC